TACACCTGCAGAGTCTCTTACACCTGCAGAGTCTCTTACACCTGCAGAGTCTCTTACACCTGCAGAGTCTCTTACACCTGCAGAGTCTTACAGCGTCACAGTTACTGCTAAGAGAACATGCTACAGACGTAGTTCCTCTCAAGCATCCTCCTAACATGAATATATGTTGATGATCAACCCCTTGATCAACAACTGCCCGCACTAAGCTGCTAAACTGGCGAGTGAGCAACACAGAGGTGTCGCCATCTCCTGCACCAGTGCGCGTTTTCTGCCGAAGCAGGAGACTCAGCAGCTGCACAGTTTCTGCTCTGTGTGTAGAGGTGGAGGTAACCTGGAGGTAACCAGGAAAACCTGGAGTGGAGTTTTAATAGACTGAGTATTCTCCTATTAATCAAGTGGAATGGATTTGTTCACGAAGAAAGAGAAACTGCACCACCTGAACTAATGTTATATAGTAAAAGTGTGTGTGTGTGTGGGGGGTGGGGGACTTGTCCCCTTCACATACAATGGTTGCGACGCCTATGGCTGAAACGGTTGTTAAAGTACAAAGTATCTAGCTGAAAGAAATGAAAAATGCATGCTAAAAGTAGAAAAAATAGCTAAAAGGACCAACAACTAGCCAAATGTAACATATTATTAGCTAAAACCGAAGCAGGTCTCTCTTAGTCTTAAATGAGTCCTCGTGGTTCAATGACACTATTTGTATAAATAAAGGTTGAATGAAAAAAAAAACAGCAGAACAAAAGCTTGTTGGATATTTCTTATCTAGACTGGTCCTATGGTTTTGATCTGTTCAGAGACAGGATTATAATGAAATTATGACCCGGTTCTGACTGGGTTAAACTGGGCCAGCAGCTCTAAGAGAGTCTCTCTGGGATTCAATATATGTCAAGGAATAGAGTTTAATCTGCCACATCACGTAGAAAGGCTTTTGAAGCACTGTCTCATATTTCCTAACACATCAGAACCACATAAGACCCATTGAGATCACACTTAGTCACGCCCCCTCATACACTGACAGGTTGAGCTCCCCTTCTGTGAAGGACGAGTCCAGAACCCTATAAATGAGTAATGACACGGGACATCGGGGCTCTTCCGGGTTTGCGAACGCGTCACGGACCAGAGAGACCAGCGCTGTAAAACTGTAATCTTTTCCTGCCTTGACTTAATACAATTGATAAAACTTAATTGACGTTTCCTTGATTTATTGATAATGAGAGTTGCCACTTCTGAGGGAGATTCGAGCCGGGGGGGGGGGGGGGGGGGGATTTGTGGGGGTTTCCAGGTCCGGTGGCCCGCAGCCAGCTCCCGTCTTTAACAAGCTAAAAGTAAAAAGGATCAAAACACTAGCTAAAACCTAAAGAGAAATACTAACTAAAAGAGCAATTTAGCTAATGTTTAGCTAATGTTTTGCTACTTAAAAAAAGCTAAACATTAGCTAAAAACCGAGAAGCAAATCACTAAAAGAAAAACAAGGCTAGCTAAAAGTAGCAAACGCTAGCCAAAAATAACAAAATATCATCTAAAAGCTAAACGAGCAAAGCCTTAGCTAAAACAAACAAAATAAATAAATAAAGTTGTAATTAGCTTAAAGTAACAAAACAGCTAAAATCTGAAGGAGCAAAACATTAGTTAAAAGCTAAATTAATTGCAATGCTAGCTAAAGGACAAAGAAAAGCGCAAACACTAGCCACAGTAGTGAAATAGCCAATAATAACAAAAAATGAGCTAAACGAAGAAAAAACTAGACAAAAGTAACAGAACATCAGCTAAAAGCTCAAGGAGCAAAACCATTCAGTTCAGTTTGTTTCTGTATAGCTCCAAGTCAGAACAGAAGTTGTCTCAGAGCTCTGAACAGAAACATTTGCAAACATTAAAAAAGAAAATTAATAAAAGTTATCTATCTAAGGAAGCAGCAGATCGAGTTAAATTTTCATGTCATGGAACACTAGCTAAAATAATAAAAAGACCAAAACAAATAAAAAAAATGCTAGCTAAAATTTAATAAAAGTATTGCTAAAAGTAGCAAAACACTATCTAAAAGCTAAACGAGAAAAGCCTTAGCTAAAAGAAGGCGAATGCTAGCTTTGTGTCAATGTGAGTTGTTTAATTATGTAAACAGCTGAAACTGTCAAACGTGCCAGACTTAAATGTTTCTGCTCCGAAAAGCACTAAAAGTAAGAAATCAGAACTGTCAGGTGAAACTTTTAGTCAGAATTTATCGCTGGTTTAATTTGAATGGTGCTCGTCTCTCCTGAAGCCTCCGACGACAGGTCACGACTTCTGAGCCAGGAGCGTGCTCAGTTTGATCTTCCCGTCCATGGAGGCCGTCAGACAAGTGCCGCAGTCCACCGCTGAGCACCAGTCCACCGTCACCACCGGCGCCTTGTGCCCGCCCAGAGGCAGAACCCGGTCCAGAGCTGGGTCACCACTGGTCAGCTGGAGGAGAGGTGGCAGTAGACAGTTAAAATTAAAAAGAACTTTTTCTGCAAAAACAGTCAATGTTGATGACCCTGAAGAAAATAGCTAAAAGAAAGGTGAAGTTGAGCTGAATAACAACTGAACTTTTAACATTAGCTGAAATATTTTAAAAAGGAACACAAAAAAGCAGAAGGACAAAAAGACAGACAGCATGAGGAGGTGTGAGGCACGAAGGATGCATAAGGACACTTAAAAGACTATAAAGACACATATGTTGACAAAAAGGACACTTAAAAACTAAAAGTAGCATAGTGAGACCAAATCGTCTACAAGGCTGCAGACAGGGACAAAGTGGACACATAGATAGACAAAAAGAAGAATGTAAAGACACACATGAAGTTTTAAGATCTGAAGTCTGCACATTTCACAGAGAAAATCTGTAAACAAAGATAAATAATTAAAAACGTAAGAGAAAAAGAAGTCAGGGCTGTGATGTCCTGAACAAGCAGCTAAAACAGTAGAAATTCTGCTGAAGATGTTAAGAACAGAAACTGTAATCTATCTGCAGCAGAGCGTAAAAGGACGGACAAAGACGAGGGCGAAGACAAAGGGGGACGTACTCTGTAAATGAGTCCTCCAGAGCTGGAACAGGTCAGGACGTGTTGTCCCTCAGAGTCAAACGCAAACAGCCGACCTCGGGGAACCTGGACCTGTTTGTAGCCACTGTACCCCGACAAGATGAAGGGCCCGGTGGCATCCTGAGGCAAATCCTGCTCGGACTGCTTCACGCCACAACGATGGATGTTCCACTGGATGAACTGTAAACAACAAGAATCATTATTGTTTACCTCGGCGCTGGAATCTAAGGTTAAGGCCTTCACCTTCCCATCCTCGCCGACGCTGAACACGGTGTTCTCGTCGTAGCTGAATTCCACGCTGTAGACCTCCCCGTTGTGAGCCCTCCAGCTCATGGCGCTCTCGTACCGCTGCATGTCTGCAGAGGAACACGGGTCACAGCAGGAAGTCAAGATGAACAAAAGGCTAGCTAGCTAAAAATAGGAAACATTAGCCAAAAGCATCAACATACTAGCTAAAAGCAGACAAACATTGGCTAAAAGAAGCAAAGACTAGATGAAGTTATTCAAGCATAAGCTAAAAGTATTACAAAGTAGCAAAATGCTAGCTAATTGATAATAAATAGAACACTAGCTAAAATAACTAAATGCCAACAAACAGCAAAAACATGCTAACAAAGTAGCAAAACTTCAGCAAAAGATAAACATTAAAAAGAAGCAAAGCACTAGCAACATGCTCAAAGAACAAGCTAATTAGCTGAAAGCTAAAGGTAGGGAACATTAGATGAAAGTAGCAACATGCTAGCTAAAAGAAGCCAAACATATGCTAAAAACTAAAAAAAAACAAAAGGTTAGCTGAAAGCTAAAATTATCAAACATAAACAAAGTGGCAAAAGTGCTAGCAAATTACTAATAAATAGAACACTAGCTAAAAATAACCAAATGCTAACAAAAGCAACAACATGCTGACATAATAGCAACACTTCAGCCAAAAGCTAAACATAGAAAATCTAATACTTTCTAGGAAAGTTAAATAATTTACTAAAACAGCAGAAAGTCTGCAGAAGGAACTACCAGAGTGAAGTTGCCCCCACCTTCTTCAAATCTATCAAAATTGGTGTCAAACATTTGTGCTGGTTTCTGCAGCTATCATTTTAAAGATAGTAATAAATGTTTCCAGAGGTCAAAAAGTACACAAGTACAGTGTGTTAGACGATAGCACCCCCTGGTGATCAGAAAACAAAATACAGGGAGGTGTTGTACCAATTCATCCTAAATAAGACCTAGTTCAAAATTAATTTCCTCCTTGTTAAAATTCATCTATTCATGTTCATAGTTCAGCACCTAAGCATTTATAAATGAAATTCATAGTTCCAACATAAACAGATTTTCGTTGACCTTTGATGACCTCTGCAAACTTTTTTATTAATATTTTTAAACTGATAGTGGCACAAACAAAAATTTTTGCTGCACAAACCAGCACAAGCGTTTAACATCAATTTAGTTAGATTTGAAGAATTTGTGGGGCCAACTTCACTCAGGTGAAGGAACTCAACTTCAAGACACAAACGAGAAACACAAAGTAAGCAAAAACAGAATATTGCAAGTGATCATAAAACCACAAACCGAAGAGCCTGATGATGCCGTCGGCAGCTCCGGTCACCAGCAGGTTCCCGTTGTGGTTGAAGGCTGTGCAGTTCACGGCTACCGGTTCTGGTTCTAAAGAGAACTGGAGCTGAGAGACCGAAAGAATCCAGATCAGACAGGAAGCTCAAATATGGCAACATCAAGCCTGCAGTCAGGGCTTAATAAGGTTTAATTGACACTTTAAAGAGTGTTTATTCCTGATAACGATTCAAACAATTCTAGAATTGCGCCGCTCAAGGTGGCTGCATGTTGGAGTAGCTCTGTTACATTCATTCTGAGATATTACTTTTGAAAACTTCAATTCCTCTTTTTTCTGGATATAAATCAAAATTTTTTTTGGATGATTATTTCCTCTGGTGTAGGATGTTGTGCAGCTGGAAGGATTTTTACAGAAATATCTTTGCTTTTGGACTATGCTGGTGAAGATTCTCAGTCATCCAGGACATGATAAATTCAAAAAAAGACTGATTCCCAGCCAGTTTTCACACCTGATGGGAACGAGGGGCCTCATCTGTGAATTAGAGGAACAGAGACCTTAAGAAACCCCTACTGTTAAGGTGCTGAGGTGTGCATTGTCAAATTTACATATGTATGAGTGTCTCATCTCAGCCTTATAACCTGAACCCCACTCACTGCTTTTTGAATTGAGAAAGCTCCTCGGATGCGAAGTGAAACGTCTTCTGTTACAAATAAAGTCCAGTTGTTTTTGTATTGAACGTTTTTAGGCCCGAGAAGCGAAGCGCTGCGAAGGCCTATTGTAATCGCTCTGTTCAGGCCCGAGCTATAATTTTTTCCGCCAAATGAATTGGCGTTTTGGGGGCCTTAACGGATTCCAAAAGTCACCAAATTTGGCGGACGCATCAGGACTGGTGAAAAATTATGTATTTTAAGGGCGTGGCAAAAATCCCAACAGAAACGACTCAAGAGCGTCACCTGGAAATTTTCAAAATACTCTACGCATTAACCTTAGTTTGTCGTAGAAGCATGAAATTTGGTACGCTTGTCCAATTCCCCCAGATGCACAGAAAACCCTCGGCACCAATGTTGTACGATAAACAGGAAGGTGGCCATTTTGGAATCTCAGCCCAATTACACACCTTTGTGGCGGTTTACAGCCTCTGCATTTGAACAAACTTCTCCTAGGGATTTCGCTCAATCGGTTTCAAACTTGGCCATTTTGGTCAAAAGGCATGAGGGATGCAAAGTTATCTAAACGGTTAGTTTCGGAGCATGCTGAAGGGGCGGGGCCAGACCTTAAAGTTTGACATCTCGCCATGAAAAACGAAACGCTAATAGCTACTACATGAAAACTGACACATCAAACATTCAGTGATTGATCCATCCGGTCCCCTGCAAGACTGAATGGCCAAATCATGACATAACTTAAGCCACGCCCCCTGACAACAGGAAGTATAAAGTTTTACTTTGAACGATCCCTATCTGACCCCTGTTACCTGATCAGCATGATAGTGTGTCCAGTGACTGAAGACATGTTGGTGTAACTTGTTTTCCAACACTGACAGTTTTGGGTGGAGCATGTGGGTGGCGCGGTGTGGCGAAGTAAGACGTAATGCCGTCGTCATATGTTTGACTCTAAATTCCACAGCTTTGAACCGAGGTGCACCAAAATCAGTTTGATCAATCATTATCCATCCCTTGAACAGGAAGCTATGATAAGTAGCCAATAGTCTCCACAGTGCCCCGTAGAATATTTTAAAACCTCAGCCCCAAGCCATTTTTTGACCGATAATTCTGAAACTCGGTGAACATTTGTATCTTCTCAGGACCTATGAAAAAGTCTCTTGGAGCCCTGGTCCAAAACCAACATGAAGTCGGCCATTTTGAGTCAAAGGGTCATTTTTGAACGTTTCTAATTGCAAATTTTAACGAACTCCTCCTAGGAATTTGTAAGGATTGCCTACAAACTTGGTTGATATGCCTTTAAGACATTGAAGAGTAAAAGTTATATAAAGCTTGCATTTTCGTATATGCTAAAGGGGTGTGGCCAGGCCTCAAAGTTTCGCTTCAGCCCATAAATTTCCAAACAGTATAACTTTCACACTGACATACCGAAATGCACGAAACTTGGCATGACTCATCCCTGTTGGATGCCCAACAATCCACTGTGGTCATATTTTGACATAATCAAAGCCCCGCCTCCTCAGAACAGGAAGTGTCTTTTTTAACTTGGAATGCTCCCTCTTTGATTCCACTGGCCTAATCAGGATGATCCTGTGTTAGAAGACAGATAATATGGTCTGACTTGATTTAAAGCGCAAACTGTTTTTGCTTGAGGATGTGGGCGTGGCGGCGTGGTGAATTAAGAAGTGACGCCGTTGCAATACGTTTGGCTCTAAATTGCACAGATTTCAGCCGAGGTGCACCAAAATCACTATGATCGATCCATTTAACAGGGATCCATGATAAGTGGCAAATAGCCTCCAGAGCGCCACCTACATTATTCCTAAAGTTATAGCTCAGTGATACAACATCCGATCTGTACCAGATTTATTGTGCGTCATCAGTGAGGAGTTTTAGACACATTGATATTGTAGTTTAACATATGACTCTAGTGTGCCCCCTAGATTATTCCAACAGTTATATCTCAAAGATACATCTTCCTATCCACACCAGATTTTTGGTGCGTCATCTGTGAGCATTTCTAGACACATTGGTATTGTTGTTTAACATTTGACTCAAGTGCGCCCCCTACATTATTCAAACTGTTATATCTCAATTATATATTATCCAATCTGCACAAGATTTTTTGTGCGTGATCAGAGAGCACTTCTATATACATTTGTGCTGTTACTTAACATTTGACTCGAGTGCGCCCCCTAGATTATTCCAAAAGTTATATCTTGGTGATATATCATCTGATCTGAACCAAATTTTGGGTGCATCATTAGTGAACACTTGGACACATTGGTATTGTTTTTGAACATTTGACTCCAGTGCGCCCCCTAGATTATTCCAACAGTTATATCTCAGTGAAATATCATCCAATATGTACCAGATTTATTGTGCATGATCAGTGAGCACTTAGACACATTGGTATTGTTCTTTAACATTTGACTCAAGTGCGCCCCTTAGATTATTCCAACAGTTATATCTCAGTGATCCATCATCCAATCAGAACCAGATTTTTTATGCATAATCAGTGACCATGTCTAGACACATTGATATTGTGGTTTAACATATGATTCAAGTGCGCCCCCTAGATTATTCCAAGAGTTATATCTCAGTGAAATACCATGCGAGCTAGGACAGATTTTTGGTACGTCATTAGTGAGCACTGATACACACACTGATTGTTGTTTAACTTTTGACTCAAGTGCGCACCTACATTATTCCAACAGTTATATCTCAGTGATACAGCATCCAATCTGAACCTGAGTTTTTGTGCTTCATCAGTGACCACTTGCAGAAACACTGGTATTGTTGATTCATGACATCACTTAAGCCCCCACCTAGTCAGAGAAAAAAACTGTAGATTATTGGATGACACTTCACACAAAAGAGTGAGGACTTCCGGGAAGATGGCACCAGTGCTGGTGGCTTGTCGTTCACCTCTGTCTGTTTTGATTGTTTTTTTTTTTCTGTTTTTGTCATTTTTCTTCGGTGACATCAACTCACTGCTTGTTTATGATAGCCAACAACTTTTAAATATATAGTTATCTACTACAAACCCCGCCTTGTTCAACCACTTTGATCAGGGCTCTGGACCCCCACCCCCTTTGCTTGTTGATGTCCCGGTGTACCTGAAGCGCGCGGCGTTTCTGCCTGCCCGAAAACATTGCTCCAGGCGCCGTGGGAGACGTGCCGGCCGTCTCGTAAAGACTATCATGAGAAAGTTATGACACTCCTTAGTGACTTAAAATACTTATGAACCTCTGAAAAGAGATCCAGGAAGTGGTTACAAGAAGAAGTTAATAGATTGCCTGAAAATTTTGGAGCAGGACAAGGCTATTGACCGTTTTCTGTACCACAGACTGTACCCAGGGGAGGCCACGCCTAGTCTGTATGGTTTACCTAATATCCACAAACAAGGTGTACCTTTAAGACCAATTGTTAGCATGATTAACTCTGTCACTTACAATGTTTCCAAATATCTGGCGTCTGTACTCATCCCTTTAGTTGGCAGCTCAGAACACCACATACAGAACACCATGGACTTTGTGGACAAGGTGAGGGATGTCATCATGGAGACTGATGAAACAATGGTCTCTTTTGATGTCACATCACTCTTTACATGCATTCCTGTTGATGATGCAGTAGAGGTGGTCAGTTTAAAATTAAAATCAGACACCACTCTGAGCAGCAGGACCACGCTTTCCACAGAACAACTGTGTCAACTCTTGAAACTGTGCCTGCAGTCAACCTACTTCACATATGGGGAGCAATATTATAGGCAGAAACATGGGTGTGCTATGGGGTCTCCAGTTTCTCCTATTGTT